TTCTTCTTCTTCTTCTTTTTTTTTTTTCTTCTTCTTCTTCTATCTATCTATCTATCAATCTATCTATCTATCTATCTATCTATCTATTTATCAATCTATCTATCTATCTATCCATCTCCCTATCTGTCTGTCTATCATTCCCTTTCTTTGACATTTCTCGTTAAAGGTTTTCCTCTGGTTTCCTTTTGGATCTACTTTTCGAGATCCAATATCCTGTCACTTTGTCACTCTTCACGCCACTTACTCGCATCTTACCCCTCCTCCTTTCCCCCTTTTTATTTTTTTTTACCCTGCACTCTAAACGGGGGAAGATATGCAATAAACAAACAAACAAACATGCGTGCATACAGCAATCACATTCTGTTTTTGCGTTTACATTCCATTTATCCATTTTTTACCGAAATAAATTCTTCTCCTCCTCCCATTTGACCAGCCTAAGGAGCATTATTATATCATCTGCTGATTTCCAGACTACGAGAACTATGCTGCTTCTCCATCTACTTCATACACTTTCCCCTTCTCTAATAAACACTCTCTCTGACTTTCTCTAAAAGAGTATAGTGTCATACATTATATTATTCTATGGTCGTTGTTGACCTATCTATGACCGGATCCGCTTGAATGATCTTCTTTTCATACAAAGTTTAAATGTTGACGTCAGTAGGTCTATTATTCTACTTGTCTTCAAACTAACAGGTTTTCATTTTCAGAAAAGTGGGGGTAACAGGTCAATCACACTGAACTTTGACTGTAATCTTATTGGACAGGTATGTATGTGATTCTTTAAAAAAAAAATTATTATCATTAAACAAGGGGAAAAAATAATAAAATCACCATATTGTGCAGGGGAGTATGTGGAGCAATCATTAAAAAATAGCAATTTGTGAGCATACGAATCAATCTTTCCTTTTTTTTCATGGCAAAAATAATATTTTACTGGTCAAAAGAAATTTAAAATTTTCTACAAAAACATACTCACACAAACTAACAATAAAAAGGTAATAGTAATAATGTCAAAAACACACAGACTATGTTTGAGAAATGATTTTTCCAGACACCCCAAATATACTGGAATCTTTAATAGTGCTGTTAGCGATAAATAATAAACCCAAACAAAGCATTTAGAAATTAGGCATTGTAAGGCTTGTGATTTACAGCAGAAAATGATAAGCCGGCATTTTTCAATAATAAGTAATTTTGATAGAAAGTAAAAAGTATATCACAATGTCAGTCTTGATAGAGCACCTTTACCATTACAGCCAACACCGAGAAAACCACATAATAATACCCATTTGAAATATGAACTCATCATTCAGGAATTAGAGCAAACTGTTTTAAACTGTGTCAGGCAAACCTAAAAAACTTAAAGTTTTAATATATAACATTTGTTTTAGGAATTATAATAGACTTAACAAACAGTCCAGTTTCTCACTATACAGGAAAAAGGCTGAATGAAGTAGAATAAAAAATGCAAGATTTTTAGAATTTATACAAAACAGTCTGTATACAGTATAACAATATCTTGATCAAATGAGGAAATTTCAGTAACAAATTACAAAAACAACTTTCATAATATCTGAAAAAGTGTGCCATAAAAAATGAGGTCACAATCACTGGCCTTTGAACTCTAGAAGAACTTTCTTCTCATAAAACCAATGGACAAAAAAAGAAGTTTGCATTTTTAAAACCTGAGATAGACATTGTACAAGTTTATAGTCTAAATATTCAAGTTATTCCATTGTCACAGGCAAAGGTTCAATTACCAAATCAAAAGCACAAGTGGAAACAAGTTTACCACCATCACCATAAAAAAGTGGAGATACAGGAGGAATCTAAGATTTTTGGCACAAAGATAAGACTTTGTTATAACATCAATAACAGCAAGCTACTCAGGACAAAGATAGCACTAGGGGAATAAGAGTAACAGCCAATGACATAGACAACACACAGAGGGTGAACTCACAGAAAGAGACAAGGACGATCAAAAAGATAACAAGAAGTGTGCACAAAATGATCACTGCCTTATGTTTTTGTTTTAGTAGAGGTTTTACGGCACTCGCAACTGCATAAGGACATAGGAGCACCAGAAGATTAGAGGAGTTACGAGAGAGTAACAAACATTTTAAAATAGGAGGGGAGATAAGGACGATAGATGTTCGATAGGAAAGAAGAAGTGGAACACACCAGAGCACTCGCCAACCACCCACCTTAATTGCCTTACAATAGACAGCAAAAGGCTGTAATATTTGAATTATTTGTTCTGTGAGTGCTATTTTGAAAGGAATGAACTTGAACAAATGAACAGTAGTGACCAAAACAAGACACCCTGAAGGAAAATTAACTTAGCACACAAGCCCACAGAAACAAGAACTTTCGAATTTAAAGTTAATTCTGAACATCTTACATTTAAAAATAAAAGGTACATGTACCATATCTTTTTTCGAATAAGAAATTGGAAAAGGTATTTTTACATTGTCCAGATTTTTGTTGTTATTCTCGCTTTGTTCATAGCTTCGTCACTTACCGGTGGTGGCAAGAGTGAGGGGTGACAGTCGACTACCGCCCGGTGCTATTGTCATGTTCGTCTTGTCTAATGATGAATACATTTCATATAGTTAACATTTATTGCATAAAAACAGTTTCCAATACAGAAACTAGATCCTGCACTTTTATACTGGTTAGTTGCAAATCTCTGCATAGTATAGTAATACAGTCGACTCTGCTCGTGTTGAACTAACCTGAGTTGATCTTCGATTAACTCATTGCCGATACGCATTCTGTTCATACGAAGGCTTGAAGACCCGATGTTCCGAAATACTAAAAGGAGCATAACTTCGTTTCATATGCAGTTTTCAATTCTGTTTCATTTATCTGGCACTTAAAAAGACAAATAACAATTATGTATATTTTAATATAATATGAAAACTTGTGTTTCTAGTCAGTATGATGGTTCGAACTATCCCACAACTTTGCTTTTGATCTGCTGTAGTCGGACATAGGTGTCCGTTTCGTCCTTAATGAATTAAGTTGATCTTTTTCTCGGGTCTCAGTACCTCTTCTTCTTTACAGTTTCGAACGGTTAAGTTGAACTTAGGTGGAAGAGTTGATCAATTTCTCACTCCCCTGACGACATCAACTCATCCGTAGTCGACAGTATTACATGTTTTTGCTTTTGATTCTACAGAAAAAACCCATGGTGGTGTCCATGCAGAATGGCGACGTCAGTAGGAACTTCACGGTCTGTCTGTTCTGACTACGTAGTCACACTGGCTCTTTCTACCGCTCAAAACCATAAGCAAGAAAGGTATGTCCACTTCAGTCTACTTCACACAACAATGCATGTTAAGAATGATTCATGTTTCCTAAGAAATTTGTTAATGAAAATAATTTAAATAATAATAATAAGAAGAAGAATAATAAGAATAAAAGAATAATAATAACAATAACAACAACAACAATAATAGGCATAATAATAATAATATAAAAAAGAAGATAGCAAGCTTTATGTGCTTTACAATCTATTCCATATCATACCAAAAATGACAACACAACACGTCATCCCCTTTTCCATAGCCAAAGAGGACATCTGATTTACTGTTAGAATTGCTGTAAGATTAACATTGTATAGAAAGTCTATGGGGAAACAGGGAAGAGCACACTCTTACTCAACAAAGGCTGCAGATCAAGGATTCCATGAAAGACTTATGACAGATCTGTTACAATCAAGAGAGAGAAAAAAAGTGACAAAAATTAAAACTACACGCACTACAATTAGGCCCTTTTTTTAAAGTAGAGGTTTTACGGCGCTCGCAACTGCATAAGGTCATATGAGCGCCAGAAGATTAGAGGTGTTACAAGAGAGTGACAAACATAAAAAAGAAGAAGTGGAGATAAGGACAATACATGTTTGATAGGAAAGAAGAAGCAAACCACATCAGAGCACCCGCCAACCACCCACACAATTAGGCCTACATCCATAGTTTCAAGATGTTACCAAAAGGCTTTGAAATAGAAATCTTTACTCCCTTGATGAGCTATGAGAAGCAGACCTGGTGGAATCAGGCTCTCTTCAATGCTCAGGCATGTGGAGTTATCGGTAATGTCTTCAAGCTTGTTCATTTGTTTTGCTTTCAGTGTAAATAATACCCATGTATCCTGAATAAGAGCCTAGATGTTTGCAGTAGAAGGAGGCGGGGGTTGGCTCTCGTCAGAGGTAAAATTAGCGAGAAAATGGTCACCACAGTTTGGTGACTTCAAAAGCTTGAGAGTCCTTGGAAACTGCGAATTTACATTGTTTTTTGTACCTTTAATTAACGTTTTCAGTAAAACTCCACACAGAAATGTTTATAAAAGGACATAAAATGTGTTGAATGAAAAATAAAATATTCAATAAAAATTGCCAAACTGGCGGAAAAATTCAAGCTTCTTTGATTTCATTATTTTGACGAGCACCTGATTTCACCACGATGCCTCTCTTATGTTGTCTTAAAAATGAAATGTGCCATATTAAACCTGCTTAATTGTTGACATGAATGAAGAGGGAACCAAAGTGGCTCTGGGGAAAATATGTTTCCAGTTACAAGAGGAATTATGTTTTTAATTATTCTACCTTCAAGTCTAAAATAAGAGTTAAGTCCTGAGATATGCAAAAATACTGCTGAATTATTAAGTCGGGTGATCAATCAAGATGCAGTATAACACACAACCGATCACGTCACTTGAAACAATATGATCATGATTTTAAGACTTTATAATACAAGCAAGAAAGAACAACAATTTGATCAATTTGAATATCAGAATCAACAAGCACCACCACATCCTTCAACACCATAAATGACGACCAAAAAGTTTAACATACATTTTCCAGAGAAACTTGAAATTTTTTTTTAAAAACCTCCAAAAACCATGGCAGCAGTCTATTCTGCAACTGTCTTTTTTGACAGCTGGTTCCAACTTTTGAATGAAGGAAAAGCAGTAAATCATGCGTAGAGAAGTATGCTGTAGCGTACAGTGAGTGAACAAGATAACATTTACAATGGAACAAAAAGGGGGAGAAGACAAACTGTTCTTTCCGAGAAGATTTTTAGTAGAACAAACAGATCAGACCAGAAGGTAAAGAAACCACCTGCTCGTATTGGGTCATTAATGAGCTTGACATATCAAAGTTTATTTAGCAGTAGGAGAAAAACTAATTTTAGACTCCTTGGTAGAAATATAGCCTACAGAATTTTTGTGAGCAACAGGAAGACGCTTAGAAAACATGAATACAACGATAATTGAATGCCTATGAAAGTCATTGCCCACATGATAGCTATCCTCAAATAAAATCATATAAATCACATTTTGTCATGAAAATTATTACATTGAATTTGATATGAAAACCATAACACTGACAACACAACGTGCTAAAAATATTGTTGCCTCAGAACTATTTTGTCCAAGGTGTACTTAAGTAAAGAGGGACTTTGGACAAAATAGTTCTGATGTGACGATGCGGAGCTGGGAAACAGTAAAATCACAAAACACACATAAAAAAAACCCCAAAGACAAACCGGACAAAAGTAGGACCACCCAGCGGCATCCTTCAAAAACTTGCACACTAAAGATTCATCCCAATCAAAGCTCCGACGTGATAATTAATCAGCACAATCAGCACAAGTCATGATGCGTCTGTTGTTCTATTTCCATTTAGGTTTCCTCCGTCTTCTCTGCTGTTTCCAGCTTCCCATCACGGATGAACTTCTCCCATGACTGGTCGACATTCTCTTTCTTCAAAAATACAAATATCCATCCATCCTCTCCCTGAAAAGTATACACACACACAACAACAAAAAGGTTAGGTTAATACAGCTCAAAAGACAGTCGAACCTGCTCTTATGGCCACCTGTCCAAGACGGTCATCTGAGCAAACCATCATTTCCCGCTTCTCCCAACAAATTCTTTTAATACACGAGGCATCGTGGTGAAATCAGGCCCTCGTCAAAATAATGAAAGTGAAGAAGAAACTGGCATTTTTCGGCAGGTTTGGGGATTTTTATTGAATTTTTGTTTTTCGGCTCAACGCCTTTCATGCCCATTTAAAAACACATTTTCATGTGGATTTTACTGAAAAACGTTGATTAAAGGGACAAAAGATATAGATTTTCAGTTTCCCGGACTCTCAAGCTAAGGAAATAGGGGAACTTTGGCGGCCATTTTCTCGTTAATTTTACCTTTGAAACCAGGCGACCCCCCACCTCCTTCAATAGCCAATATCTTAACTTCTATCCAAAATAAATGGATATTTTTCCAATCAATAGCAAGGCAAATGGGCAGGCTTTAAGATGAGACCCATAACTCCCTATGCCCCTAAACTGACAGGCGCCTCCTTCCACCACGCCGTGCCACATATAATGACACCATCTGAGATGTTCACCTGAGACAACCATGTTTCTCCTCAATACTGGGGGCCGTCTTGGACAATTCTGACAGTTTGTGGAAATAACAAAAATACATTCACTGACAAGAAATCAAACTTAAATCATTAGGAAGAAAGTTCAACAAAAGTTCAATGCAGACTGATAAAGTAGAAACATCTTAGAACTAATTGAAACATACTATGATTTAATGCCAGTTTACAAGTGTATTAAACATCCTTAGGAAAAGCAGTTCAGAAGAGTAAATGAAAAAAAAAAATACATGAGCTGAAATTCAGGGGGATCACACAGAATCTTCTTCATAAAGAAAGGTCCAAATTCTGGTAATATTACAAGCTGTTGTACAATTTCTTTCTGGCTCTTTATAGAGTAGCCCTCACATTACTGGTATTCAAAACATGAATCTGGGTTACAGTATTCAGTATTGAAAAAGGCATAACTTAGCAAAACCTCTTTTTGATTGGAATTCAAATTTCAAAAACAGATTAGCTTGTTGATAGAAAGAGCACAGTTGCCCAGCCACTTGATGCATATTGAAACCGACTCAGTTTTATATAGTCAAACGATTTCAATTGGGCTGAGGCCTTATCATTGCATCAAAAAATCACATCGCTAATGTGAATGAAAATTCCCTAATCAGCTTTGCGAGACTAGGTCCATCTCTTTACCATACATAATGGAACAAAAAGATCATATTTAGTTATATCATCATATGCTATGAAGTAAAATATTCCATCTGTAAGACCTATGACCAAGTCTAAAGGTAAAAGATATATGTCTCATGACACGGTAGAATCACATATCAGGCACTTATAGTATAATTTAACTTGGTACAATTTAACTTAAAGCTTGTTCCTTTGTCTTGCTTTTGATGAAAAAAACCCAACTAATCTCTTTTACATAGAAATCAAGATATTTGCGATTGAAGGATGTGGGGTTTGCCTGGTGTCTGAGATAAAATTAGTGAGAAAATGGCCGCGAAAGTTTTGGTGACTTCAAAAGCTTGAATGTTCCTGGAAACTGAAAATTTACACTTTACGTGCCTATGATCAATGTTTTTCCATAAAATCCATACAGATGTGTTTTTAAATGGACCTAAAACATGTTAAGCCAAACACATAATTCAATAAAAATTGCCCAACAGACGGAAAATTTTTAATTCCTTCAATTTCATTATTTTGACGAGTGTCTGATTTCACAATGATGCCTCACATATGCTTTTACCTGTCTAAAAGTGAAACATTTACTTTATTGCAAAGAAGACTATAATAGTAGCAGGGTTTGTGAACAGCTTGAATACCTTGAGATGTATGCCACGCTTTTATGACTACTGTCCTTGCTTGCCTGACCTTAAAGGAGAGTTAACCAGAAAGACCTCAGTGTGGGCCACAGCGATAATTACCTTGATGTAAGAGTGACGAGGAACAATTGTGTAAGGCAGTCGCTCAAACTTCAGTCTGTACTTTGCTCCTTTCATGGCACCCATGCCATCACCTTCCACATTCAGCTCAAAGCCTCTGCACGAATGAAAAACATAATAATAACACAACGTTTTATGTTAGTGTTGTATGTTGTACTGTATTGTAAAGCGCTCAGAGCCTGTGTACTTTATTCGGGGTTGAGCGCTATATATAAATAACCATACACTCCAAATGAACTCTTTTTAGCTATGTGTTTCATTTATGTACAAGAAAATAATGTCTTAAGTCACCACAATTGTTGATCTTGTCAACTGCATATTATGATAATGTTTGGATTTTAGCTAAGGTCTGGAAAAATGGAACTTTGGCATAGCAGAAGGAACTCTCTCTCACTCTCTCTCCCTCTAGCTCTTTCTCACTGTGACATGTTGCTTAGCCTGAGATATCAATGACACCTCATCTTTTTTAAATTACAGCACCCTAGAAATGTTTATTTCTTTTAAGGTAGATCAAAGCACATGTATGTAAGAAAACAAATAATCAGCAGCATTTAGAGCAAGGCGCACCGGCAGTGGAATTTTAGTTGCCGCGGGGGGTTCTCCGCCGGGCGCCTTATCACGTCAGGGTCACGGGGGTCAGCTCCCTGTCGCCGCTCTGTCTGGGCCGACTTAATTTTTCGTACTTTTCAACGTACAATTTAAGGTGTATCCTTGTATTTATGGTAATTTTCATTTAGTGCACCCAAAGCATGCATTTCTGCTCTTGAGACTCAAAAAAGAACGGATGTTGTAACTTGTCTGGTTATTTCGTTAGACACGCTGGAGTCGGCAATGCTAAATCATAATTTTTTTTGACTAGCGAGAATGCAAAAAAATTCAATATAAAAAAAGACCTCGTTAAAATCTATCAAACTTTTGGAACATGAACGACATAGCATTGGTACAGATACTCAGAAAAGATGGTATCTGCGCATATAATAGAAAGCTGTAATTTTGCAACTTTATCCATCGGGCACACAATTCGCTATGAAGTAATTCCTCCAAATACAACTTTATGTGTCTAATATAATCGTGAATATTCGCATATTTTCTCGAAAGTTTATAAAAGTAACAATGAAGTTTCTCTAGGAAAAGTACAAATCGATTTTAGTACTAGAATACATCTTCAATGTAGATCTAATACACGAACAGCATCTGTTACATTCCAGAAATTCCTTACTTTTCTTAAAACGATAAGTCTAGGTTTTGTAAGTTGACTGAATAATAGGGATGACCTCTCGTAATTGGGTTATAAGAATAATTTCTAGCTTTCCAGGGACACTGAATAAGCACCAGACTTTTCCAGCTTTATTTTTCGTTTCTATGACCATTTGCAATAACTGACAATATGACAGATTTCTTTACATTCATAATTGTGTCCGCGCATATTTCCGACACAAAAACTAAGAATGAATGTGTTTGCTGTCATTATTTTTATTCCATACAAGAAGTTTATCTCTACCCATGTATTTACACGGTTTTGTGGGTTTTTTTATCACTTAGATTCTATATTATATCTTTTTAGTTGTATGCAGGCTGCCACAGACACAGCATGATTCATGAACAAACGCAGAGTAACTTTCTCTTGTTTAATAGTAAAATAAGAGCTAACGCTGATCGTCTTTAGTTAAAAAGTGCAGATGTGTATCTTTCTTCTCTTATAACTTAACTATTTCTACTCTCGCAGATTTAAGATTTCTCATGTTAAAAGACATGATATTCGTAGTCAGTTTAACACAGATTTTGGAGAGATCTGTCGTGCCTTTTTAAAATTAACAATCATTTATTCATAAGTTCGTAACTAAAATAAGACAAATTGGGTACTCTACAAACACTTGTCTAGAACAAAAACTAAGGCACAGAAATTAACTATTCTAATGCAGAATAAATCTCAAGACATTGAGCTTTTAGTACATCTGCGTAATGGTTTGCTGTGTGGGATGGGGAAGAAGTTATATCGTTTTAAACATAGTAAAAATGCGAACTTCCTAACCGACACCGGCAAAGTCGCTTCAGGGCTTATTAACCCCGTGACCCCGAGCCGGGGAGCTCCGGCGAGCTGCTGAGTCACGCGAACTAAAAGTAAAAGTAACAGAATCGGGCGAAAAGTGACGCCGTGAGAGATATAAAAAAATAGCACACCTCTCATCAAAGGCAGGGGCTTCAATTTTCGCATTCTTTCCTTGAGGGGTGCCGTGTTTGTCGATCAAATCACCAAAGAATCCCAAAATCCCTTGACTTTTCACTTTCAGGCCAGCTATCTTCACTTTCAGTCTAACGAATCCTGGTTCCGAACTCTCATCTGCAGCTGCAAAACAATAAGTTATGAATAATACTTAATGAGCTGCTAAACCAGAGATGACAGGTTTTAAACCATATCCCTTCTGATTAATTTTCCTCATGGCATTTTGAGAGCTAGTAAATAATGGGATAGAAAATAAAATAAAGTGCAATTTCTGTAATAAATTCTTTTTTCATTCTTCTCGATTGCATTGCAATTGAAGATCAGTATCTATTATATACTGGACCATCCTGCTAAGTTCCTCTCTAAAAATTTCATGTGCTAGTTATAAAAGCATGAACAATGTAAGGGAAATGGAGCAATCGGCGTGCTCCGCGTGTTTTTGCTATTGTCAGGACAGCCAACTTCAGTTTTCTGCTCACTTTGAATGTCCAGACAACAGCAGAAATGTGTGGAGTATGGCTCCATTTCTCAGATTTTCAGTTAAACCTACTATCTCCTTTTAATAATAATAATAATAATAAATAGCATTTATACTGCGCATTTCCATTTCCTAAAAGATGCTCAATGCGCATTACAATGAAAA